TTCATTTCAAATGGGCCGGATCCGGCCCGCGGGCTGTAGTTTGCCCACGGCTGTTCTATCCACTGAGCCAAACCAGTTAGGGTGCCTCTGCCTTTTAGATCTCAGTAGCACCCTCCTCACACCCGACCTGAGGGATGGGCAGAACTGCCCCCAACTTAAAATCACTGTTTCACTCTCCCCACATGCTACCTTGCTCTAAGGGAAGCTGTTTGGCCAGCTGTGCTGGGGAAGGGGGAGGGGTGGTGAATATGGGGCAAACAGTGCTCCGTTGGAATATTCTCACTCAATAGGTGTGATATTTTTATTAGGTGATGATAGTAATGATTTTTGTCTATGCAATTACTTTGTACCTCAGAGTTGATCTTGTAAGTGGAGCTTTGAGGATAAAAAGGGCCCTGGATTGTAGACCAGTGTTGGATTCCCACCCTCACCAGGAGCCCATCATGTGACCTTTGGCAAGTTACTCCCCGCAGCCTCAGTTTCCCTATCAGTCTGAAAGCTCACAGGGGGCCCTGAGGCAGAGGATGGACAATGGAAGGGGACGTCTACCACCCACCAACCGCTAAACAGGTAATAATGGCCTCAAGATGGGCAGCAGCAGCAGCTAAGAGCTCAGTCACCGACATAAAAAATACATCGTGAAATAACGCACCCACTTGCGCGCTATCCCGGAATATAGAGATGTAATGTATGAAGGGCAGGATGATGGATATGGGCATTAGATAGTGAAGAACCTGAGGATAACAGATGCACCAGAAGAAGAGGCTGAAACTATGAAAAGAAGCAATAAATTCATGTAGATGGAAAACATATGTAGCAGGTTAAAAGGGCTTAGTGAACACCAGGAACATGTAAAGGAGGCAAATGCTAGCTCTAGTCTGGCACAAGTATTGACTTGTCTACATAAAGAAAAACACAGTTCACAAGCATCTAGCGAGAAAATAGCAGGCTGCCTGTAGGAAGCACCACCCGGACTGCCCCGGGAACCAGCAGACGTAGCAGCGCCTCTCATGCCCGTGTCCGAGACAAGGCAAGCATCTGTGTCTGCCATCTTCCCCACCCAAGTCCCATTTTTTGTTGGTATAGTTGGTATTTCAAACCAAAATACTTTTGGTTTGTGCACTTTACCCCTTTTATTTTTAAAAGCCACTTTGACATGTGTGTTCTCTGAATCCGTGGTTTATGGCCGTAGTTTGTGATGTTCAAGACCAATCCAGGAAGAGGATCTGGGCCAAGAAGAGTGCCGATGGGAGCAGAACACTTGTCCAGAGTGCAGGGGAGCTGGGCACAGACCACAGTGAAGGCTTTCCAAAGTGCACAGCCCAGAGCAACTGCATCAGAATCCCTGAGGTGGGGCCTGGGTGGGTGCCCACTTGGTTCTCATGAGAAGCTCGGGTTGGGTGGGGACCCACTGACATTGACCCTACAGGCCCTGGCGTGTGGCATCTGGACAGGCGACTAGAGAGGCAAACCGAGACATCCTCACGCTGCAGCTGACCACAGCCAGCCCACCACCTGGCCTCCTCTGCAGGTCCCGGTCAGGGCTGCTCACTGTGCTGACAGTGGCCAGGGAGGTACAGGAATGAGGGGCATGAAGGGTGTGAGCAATGCAGACATTAGTGAGCAGTTTACGAAGGGGATTGCGTGGACTCTCTGGGAATATGGCCTTGTGTAGTTAGGTCACCAAATCCCTTCCTCCTCCCCCAATCCAGAAACTAGATTAATGTGCTATTTGCAGGCTTCGAGGACCCTGTGTGGGCCAGCCATACTGGCACCCGGGCCACAATTGACTTGTAGGTTCTGTTTTGCATCACAGGCTCAGATTTTTCAGGTCTGCAGAAATGCTCCATTCGCTTTCACCAAAGAAACCCTCTGTCTTCTCAGAAACAGCAGATAGAAACCTAGATGCTTCAAATTACTTTCATCCTTAATTTGTTAAGTTTTTAAAAATCCAGTCAGAACACCCTGAAATTGAATTGCTCCCTGTCAGTTCTGTTCACCCAGCCTCTGTGCAGATGGCCAGTGAGCCGTCCTTGGGCACTCCACATGGCAGAGCACATGCCCCCAGTTTCCCCCTATGTGTCTGAAGAGAAGCAGACACACTCAGAGCCTGGTACCCTGGACTGTCGCTTCTGAATGACAGGAGAGGTGGAACGCTGGGGCTCCTACATGTTCGGTGGGACTAGAACATGAAGGGACCCAGACGCCAGAGCCGGTTTTGCGCCTTCTCTCTGCTAACCACGATGGACTGTGAACTTACCATGCACCAGGCATGGTGTTTCGGTTCACGGTTAAGCAGTGGGTCCTCCAGAGCTGCCTCTACACGGGCGGATGATAAATAGATGAATCAGGCATTGGTTCTATTTCACATTTCTGAAAAAAAAGCCTCTGCACTACAAGGGCATTTGGATTTGCAGAATCCCTTCTCTCATTTGTCAACTATTGCTGAGAGCCAGGTTTGTGCCAAGTCAGCGTGCTGGGCACCAAGAACAGACAGAGCCTGCCCTCAAACTGCGCTCTGGCTGGGACAGATGTGACATGTGTAGTGACGACTCCCGTTCAAGAAGGCAATGGGCAGAGGCAGTTCCTTCCTTCTAAGAGCTGCTGGCCACACTCAGCAAGATTCTCTGAAGATGCTCAAATGCCTTGCCAAAAAGCACGTAAGAGTCTTCCAGGGAGTAATACATGTCCCCCCCTCCCCCAATAAGCTATGTTCTCAGGAAGGAGAACAGCAGAGGCTCCCCCAAAAGGAGGGATCTCAGAGGGGGACTGACAAAAGGAAGAGAAATACATGCCCAGGTGCTGATGTCACACTCGGGCACAGTGCACATGTGGATGTCACACTCAACACGGTGAACACACTGATGTCACACTAAGGCACCGTGAACGGGGTGATGTCACACTCGGGCACGGTGAACACACTGATGTCACACTCGGGCACGGTGAACACACTAATGTCACACTCAGGCACGGTGAACACACTGATGTCACACTCGGGCACAGTGAACACGCTGATGTCACACTCAGGCACGGTGAACACACTGATGTCACACTCGGGCACAGTGAACACACTGATGTCACACTCAGGCACGGTGAACACACTGATGTCACACTCGGGCACAGTGAACACACTGATGTCACACTCAGGCACGGTGAACACACTGATGTCACACTCGGGCACAGTGAACACACTGATGTCACAGGGCACGGTGCACGCTGATGTCACACTCGGGCACGGTGAACACACTGATGTCACACTCAGGCACAGTGCACGTGCGGATGTCACACTCAGGCACGGTGAACACGCTGATGTCACACTCAGGCACGGTGCACACACTGATGTCACACTCGGGCACAGTGAACACGCTGATGTCACACTCAGGCACGGTGCACACACTGATGTCACACTCGGGCACAGTGAACACGCTGATGTCACACTCAGGCACGGTGCACACACTGATGTCACACTCGGGCACAGTGAACACGCTGATGTCACACTCAGGCACGGTGCACACACTGATGTCACACTCGGGCACAGTGAACACGCTGATGTCACACTCAGGCACGGTGCACACACTGATGTCACACTCGGGCACAGTGAACACGCTGATGTCACACTCAGGCACGGTGCACACACTGATGTCACACTCGGGCACGGTGAACACGCTGATGTCACACTCGGGCACGGTGAACGTGCTGATGTCACACTCGGGCACGGTGCACATGCTGTTAGTGGACATGAGGAAATTGCAGCACCTGCAGCTTATCCTGCAGGGAGACTGGGTGTTTTCACTGCAGACTTTCTGCTGTGGCAGCTTCTAGGGACAGAGTCCAGCTAGTAAGGGAGGTGGTGCCAGCTCCCTGGGGACACTCTCCCTTGCCCCCCACCCCATGCCACCAACCTAGACACATCCTCCGGTTCTCAACCTGAGTCCACAGAGAGAGTCTGCCCTCCTCTCTTCTGTCCCAGCTCCCTTACCCTTCCAAGTGTGAAAAGCACTTTGGAGTTGTTTGCTGAAGTCCTGGCCTGCGGGCTGTGGGCTCCTGGGGGGCAGGGACAGGGCATGCCTGTCTTGTTCACAGCCACCCAGGGCAGTCTAGCTGAGGGCTTCCTGCAAGTAAGGGGGGTCCCATGCTGAGGAGACCTCCCTGGTTTCCTGGAGGAACTGGACGAGGCAGGGGAAGCTGAGGCTGTCGGGGGCCAGCACTTCCCACCGGCCCCGCTCCTGGATGGCTCCTCCACACCGGCCTTCCCTCCTCCGCTGACCACCTCAAGTGAGAGGCCCCCTAAACAGCCAGTAAAACCCCAAATTGCATATGAGTCATCAGAAAATACTGCCGGGGACTGTGAAAGAGCTGCGGGCAGTCAAAACCAAAACCAGACCCAAACCCAAACCCAAACCATCGTCCCTGTTCTTGGCTCTACTTGTCCTAAATCCTTAAGACACCCTTTGCCTCTATTTCAAATTGATTTTTCTTTAACAGATCTTATTTAAAATGTGTGTCCCCTCCGTATTGTAAAGAGAATCCCGAGGGACCATTTTTTTCACACTTAATACAGATCCAAACAGCTGCTTTGTTCCCAAATCACATGGCACGTTTACTATCCCAAAGATCAAAACTGCCACGCATCAGGAAGTTTCTACAGAGCCAATGCCAGTGGACACGGTCACTGTCTCCCCTAAAAGTAAGTGAAGATCCCAGGAACCACACATCCACTCCAGGGATGTGCTGGTGCCACACAGGGCAGTTCACCCTCAGCACCTCGTGCCTCCAGCCACTTGACTCGGCTACAGTGTGTGGCTGAGCACTGTGCCTGCGGGACCGACTCTCAAAGAGAGAAATCAATACAACGACATTATGCTAAGACTCAGCTAAACTACATTTAATAGTTCCTTCATGACCCGTAAGTCCTCTCAGATGGCTACACTATAAGATGCGGCCACTAATATTCATTATCACATTAACATATGATCACAATATATAAAAGCATCAATCTAGTAATATATTAGCCAATTGGGACATTGGTTTAGAAATAGTGTGCCATAGGAAAAAATACATCGGTGACCAAGCCTGCTACTTAACCTTTGCAATTCTCTCTCTTGTTTTTCATCTTCCTCCACACAGATTCCTGCTCACCCCACAGTCAGTGAGGGTATTTGGGGAGCAGAAAGAAGGCCAGTGCGAGTGGCAGAGCGCCAGGGCAGGGAGGGAATGCACCAGCTGAGGCTGGGCAGGTAGGCAGGGGATGGAGCATGCCAGGCCTTGTAAGCCTAAACCACACATTTACATTTATTCCCTTACAAAGGGAACTGTCTGGAGGGACTTAGGAAGTGAGTGTATGAAGCAATTCACATTTCGTGAAGGTCACTCTGCCTCACTGATGGATGATGCCGTGTGCCCTGACTGGACCACAAGCCCCTCGACGATGGGGAGAGTGCACTCCTTGCTGCCCTCACCTCACACACCCACACAGGTTTCACGCCACCAGTTCTCACACTGCTGTGGGCAGCAGCAGCATCCCCAGGAAGCTCTTTCAAACCCAGCTGCTGGACCCCCCACCTGCAGAGTTTCTGATTCAGAAGGTCTGGGTGGGGCCCAAGAATCTGCATTTCTAACAAGGTCCCAGGTGATGCTCAGAATCCTTTCCTGGTCCAGGCAGGGCACTTATCCAGAGACACAGAACCGTGAACAGACTGATGAATTTCAGAGAGAAGGTGGGAGCAGGGTGGGTTGGGGAGGGCAAAGTGGGGGAGGGAGATATTAACCGGGGAACTTGTAAGCATATATGCATAGCCAATGGATACAGACAAAAGTGTGGCAAGGCCTGGAAGAGGCGGGTGCAGGGAGGGGGGGGTGGTCAATGGGAAAGAAAAAAAGCAAAAGCAAAGGGGACACTGTAATACTTTCAACAATAAAGATAAATTTAAAAAGAAAGAAAGAAAACTCCATAAGTTAAAAAAAAACCACACAGGCAAATCTGTTTGCTGAATAAGTAAATCAGTCCATGAAGGGACACGAAAGTCGCTTAATCGTCTGCCTCAGTCCAGAAAGGATGTGAGGTGGGGAGGCATCCCTGGTGCTGCTCCAAACTGAAAACAAAATGCGCTTTGCCTGGAATTCATGGCCAAGCCCACCATGGCCCATCCTGCCGGGGTCAAAGTGCACAGCATTGGTGAGCACACCCGCTCTAAGAAGAGGTGTCCTGTAACATTGCGACAACTGCGGGTGGTACAGGTGGGTACTGGGCATATCAGGGGAGCACTGTAAAGACTATGATTGTCTAACCACTCTTCGGTACACCTGAAACCAAATAATATTCAGACTGAGGAGAGACCATGCTGTGAGAAGCAGCCGGACTCTGAGAGCTCCCCCTGCCCACCACAGTGAGGCTGTGGTTGCCACATGCAAATGCCCATCCACCCAGAAATGACGACTGGACTGCGGCCCCACCGACAACGGGCAGTCCAAACTTAGGGATGGACTTGCTGCCCTCACCTCACCACTCTCCCCATCTTAAGGAACCCCTCTTGCCTGAGGCCTACATGGTCATAGGTTCATATTCTGCTTAGGGAAAAAGCTGGTCAGACATACCCGAGACTGTGGAGGGCTATAATTAAACTTCAAGGCATGGTCCTAAATGAAATCTCATCTATTCAGGAGTTATTCAGGATCTCATGGTCTAGGAAGTTGACCCGGGATGGGGGGATTCAAAACATCAAAAGCCAGCGAACCAAAGCAAGAAAGACCATTGAAAACCATAGATGTTAAGGAGCAAATAACAACTAGAATAGTCATGAAGCAGGAACCAATGAGTGGACCGTACTCTGTCCACAAAGCAAGACACAACAGCACAAGGCCCAGGTGACAATTTGCCTCATGTGGCTGAGGAACCTGGGTTCTTATTCTAGGCTGGTGGGAATCATGGAACAGTCTATGAATTAAATACAAAAATAGCAATCCC